TTTAGTTCATCAGTACTTCAGTGCTGTTGTAGTTGGAGCCCAAATATGAAATATACAAAATGTAAACATAAATATAATGATCTTGATCTGACTATGCGTGCAAGTGTACATGTGTTTACTTGAGCGTTACCTATCTGGCCTAGATATTTTAAGTAGTGATAAAATGATTTTAAACAGAGCAAACTCTCACCACAGTGACAGATAATTGTGCCTGAACAAAAATTCTTGAAACCAATGTAATGGTATTATCGTTTTATGTTGATATTGCTTTTGTTTAGTCTTGTTTTGTACTTAAACATTGTGAGTTTTAATTTAGACCAAGTTGGGGGTGTAATGCCTTTTCTCTGTCCTGTGGTGTGTCAAACCTATGGAAGCCCATTTCTGTCAGTGAATAAAAAATAAAAGATTCACAGAAAGTCATAATTATCAGTTTAAAATTCATAATTATGAGTTTTAAACTCCTATTTATGATTTTTAAAGTCACACTTGCTTCTATACTTCTGTATTTCTGTGCTTCTGTAGGAGAATGACAGGAAGAGTGTGGCTTTAGAGTTTTCATTATAAATATCATGTTTTTAAATACTTTTACCTTTATTTTAGAGCAGCTTTTTGTATCCAGTGCTTCTCTGTGGAGAAATAGTTTAGGAACACGTTAAGAAAGTGAGGCATAACTGGACCGCTGTGAACAGTTTCAGAGGAAATTCCAATTACATTTGCTCATCATACTTCAGTGCTGTTGTATTTGGAGCCTAAATATGAAACGTAAAAAAAGAAAGAAAAATAATAATAAATGCTAATGCAAAAATTGTGAGAAAATGACTTTAAACAGAGGAAACTCTCACCACAATGACAGATAATCGTGCCTGTTTTGTATTTAACCATCATGAGTTTTGCTTAAGACCAAATTGAAGTCTGGGATGTAAATAATTAAGCCTTTTCACAAGTATTATAAGAATGTATGTGTAATTCTTTATTTTAAGATAATTTAGCATGTGACACCACTGGACAGTCACTACAATTTTACCATGTTAAAAATATACAATAGATAATCCAATTATGTCTTTAATGCCAACTATTAAACAAGTGTACACAGGGTTCCCACTCTTTTTCACTGACAACATTTTTTTAATACTCCATGAATTTTTCATGACCTAAAGTGAATTTTCCATGACTTTACGGCACCTACATGTGTAGAATTGATCAGAGTTTTAGGGCTAAATATGAAATGTGAACTCTATCCACTCACCTTATGGTTTGGTGTTATAGTTCTTAACATTCCAAATACTGTCAGTGCTTTTGTTGTCGTCTCTTTTAAACAACAGAAACAACGTTCAGAAATAATCATAATAGTTTAATGAGAACTTAACATAACACTGTAGTCGTGTGAATGAGTTACTAAAATTCCATGACTTTTCCAGGATTTCCATGACCGTGTGAACCCTGTATATTACTGTCTGTCTATATTTATTCAGACGTTTATTTTTATTAAGCTATATTCTGTTTTTCTCAGAAAAGTGGCATTTTATAAAAGTGAGAATGTTATAATTATTACTTTTGGCCTGTATCACAAACCCTTAACCACAGAGCTCTGAATGAAATGTGAGTTCTAGTGAGTGGTCAGAGATGTTTTGGGAGCTTGAGTCAGCACACACAGAAAAAAAAAAATCTCACGTAACGCTGTAGCCGCCGCGCGCCAAATAGGAAGTTCTCCAGGAGGCTCTTCCGGCTCCTTCTGACTCTGACTCCAATGAACTTACATTATGATCTTGTGGCTCCTCTCTCTGTAAGTGCTGCTGTGAGCCTCGCCATTTTGGTCTTAAAATGTTTGTACTAACCCACGACACATGATCCTGAATATATATATATATATGTGTGTGTATAAACAGCTACACCCAGCAGGAATAATGTACCGGCCAAAGGAGGAGATACAGACCACAGATGTTAAGACACAAAAGTGCCTGACCTGCATGAAGGGTTCATCCCAAATCCAGGACCCTGAGACTGTACACGCGCCAGAAGGAAGGAGGCCGAGGACTAGTGAGTGTGGGAACCACTGTCCAGGATGAAACATCCAACCTCCATGAGTACATCAAGGACAAGGCCCCGACAGATGAGGTGCTCAGAGAATGTCTCAGACAGTGGGGTCCAGAGGAAGAGGAGCTGGAGGGACCATCATGGCAGGACAAACCCCTACATGGGGTGTACCACCGGAACATAACTGAAGTGGCTGATATCAAGAAATCCTACCAATGGCTTGAGAGGGCTGGTCTGAAGGACACACAGAGGCACTGATCCTGGCTGCTCAGGAGCAGGACCTGGGCACTCAAGCAATAGAGGCCCAGATCTACCACACCAGACAAGACCCACGGTGTAGACTGTGCAAAGAGGCTCCTGAGACAGTCCAGCACAGAACTGCAGGTGTAAGATGTTGCAGGGAAACAAACATGGTGCGACAGAACCAAGTGGTGAGCAGAGTGTACAGAAACATCTGTGCAGAGTACGGGCTGGAGACTACAAGGTCAAGGTGGGAAACACCTCCAAAGGTTGTGGAGAACGACCGAGCCAAGATCCTGTGGGACTTCCAGATACAGACTGACAGGATGGAGATGGACCAACCAGACATAGTGGTGGTGGATAAACAACAGAGCAGAGCTGTGGTGGTGGACATCACAATACCAAGAGATGGTAATATCATGAAAACGGAACACGAGAAACTAGAGAAATACCAGGGGCTCAAGGAGGAGCTGGAGAAGGTCTGGAAAGTGAAGGCATCAGTGGTGCCTGTGGTGATCGGAGCACTTGGGTCCGTAACCCCCAAACTGGAAGAGACTACAGCAGATAATGGAAAAAACAACAGAACATCTCAGTCCAGAAAAGTACAGTACTAGGAACAGCAAAGATACTGAAGAACTCTCAGGCTTTTTATGATATATATGATACATAATGATCTTGAAATTATTACTAGTGTATAGTTTTTTACTCACTGAATAAATCAAAAGTCTGAGGAGCCAAAGTGATATATGACACATACTATACAGTAATATTTGCCAGTTAGCTGTAGTCGTATATGTCTAAATATGTTCTTAAAATATATTACATATCTTCTGAGTTAAAATAAAGATAATACTTACTGTGCGTGTGTTAGATGCTCTATAAATGCTCTTAAGGGATCACACTTTCTGAGAATAGCAATTGGCTCAAAACGTCACTGTAAATAAAAATCTTTGAACAGGAACTACTTTATGTGTGTATCACTCTCAGCACCCATTCTAGAAAGCCTGCAATGGGTGTCTTTGTAATCATTCACATACTAAATATTAAATGTTTTACTAAGTGGTATTAAAAAAACTGTTTGTTTTTTTGTTTTTGTTTTTTTGAAGAAAAGCTGGAGCATGAAATGTAAACTTTTTATTACAAACATTGCAAGAGAACAACCACACAGGGTTATTATTATCTACTCACATATTGAAGGATTATTATGGTAAAGTGTAACTAGCACCACTGGATTCCTTGACCTTTACAATGTGGGTTTAGCAGTAAAAATCTACATTTCAGTTTATTCAAAAGTCAAGATACTATAATTTTTACATTTACGGCAGCCATTTTTTAAACTTCAATATCGCCGCCATATAGACATCTGGGCAAATGCAAACATTGATTTTCTGACTCCATATACTATAACCTGACCAAAAATGTATAGTTAATCAAATTCCCCAAAAATTCCCACTAAGGTTAAAATTTGAATATAAGGAACTGGACTATACTGTTAAGTTATAAGTTAAATGTGATTTTAAGTTAATTTTTGTTCAACTGATTTATAGCTACCCCTCCCTAAACCACCACCTTAATGTGGTTGAGGGGTTTGAGTGCCCGAATGATCCCAGGAGCTATGTTGTCGGGGGCTTCATGCCCCTGGTAGGGTCACCCAAGACAAACAGGTCCAGGGGGATGGGTCAGACGAAGAGTGGTCCAGAAGCCTTTATGACAAGAGGAAAAACTAGGCCACTTACGTCGCCTGAATTGGCGTCACCCGGGCCTCACTCTGGAACCAGGCCTGGGGTGGGTGCTCAACAGTAGCGTCTGGTCTGACCCCGTGAGGAAAGGCCCGGCCAGGCTCAGCCCGAAACAGCGACGTGGGGCCGTCCTCCTGTGGACCCACCACTCGCAGGAGGATCCATAGGGGCATGGTGCAAGGAGATCTGGGCAGCAGTCGAAGGCAGGGGCCTCAGCAACTGGATTTCTGGATATAGAATGTCACCTTGCTGGGGGGAAAGGAACCTGAGCTTGTGCGGGAGGGTGAGAGTTACCGACTAGATATAGTTGGGCTCATCACTCGGACTCCATGTTTGAGTGGGCTTTGTTTTCGGCCTCTATTGTCGATGCGGCCGCTCATACCTGTGGGCGTAAGGTCTGTCGTGCTTGTCGTGGCAGCAATCCCTGAACTCACTGATGGACACCAGAAGTAAGGCATGCCGTCAGGCTGAAGAAGGAGTCCTATTGAGCCTTGTTGGCTCGTGAGACTCCTGAGGCAGCTGATGAGTACCGACGGATCAAGTGTCCTGCAGCCCGTGTGGTTGCAGAGGCAAATACTTGAAGCTGGGAGAAGTTCTGGGAGGTCATGGAGGAGGACTGTTGGACGGCCTCAAAAAAATTCTATCAAACTGTCAGGCGCCTCAATAGGGGGAAGCAGTGCTTCACCAACACTGTTTACAGTGCGAGGGGAGAGCTGTTGACCTGGACTGGGGATGTTGTTGGGCGGTGGAAGGAATACTTGGGGACTCGGAGGCGGACTCATCCATCAGCCTGGACTGTAGTTCATCTCATTTTCTTTATTTATTTTTTATTAAAATGTGGAAAGCTTCTACAAGTTTAATTGTTCTGCCTTCTCTGTTTCAGCTGATTCCTGGGGTCTATGTGCAATGGAGTGGCTGAATTTCTATCCGAACCTCACAGAAAAGCAGCTGACAACAACAATCAGTTTTAAATTATCTTTTGTCACAATGACCTGCTTGGCTTTTCTCATGTTCCTGGTCATAAACGGCATCATCATCCACACTCTGTGCAGCCGGCCTGTGTTCAGGGAGACATCGCGGTACATGCTCCTGCTGAACCTGGTGGTGGCAGACTCCATCGTGCTCTTCATGGGACAGTTGTTGTACATGCATGGTGCCTTTTTCATCTTCCTGTCCTACCCTCTGTGTGGATTCTACGTCATGATCGGCTTCCTGTGCGACCAGATCGCTCCTCTCACTCTGATGTTCATGTCCATTGAGCGTTACATTGCTGTTTGTTTCCCATTTCATCACCCCACCATAGTCACCATGAGGAACACGGCGTTTGTCATCCTCTGTGTCTGGGGGCTGGGCTGTGTGGACATGTTTGTTCGGCTGATGCTCATTGTTGAATTCCCCTTCCACCTGCTCCCCAGCCTTCAGATGAACGTATACTGCAGCCATACCGCCTTGCTGCGTGGACCACGATCCAAGCTCTATGAGACAGCGTCCACCATAGCGCTCTTCCTGCTTTCTGCATTGGTCACTGCATTGTCCTTCATCTGTGTGATGGTGGTGGCAGTTTCTGCCTCCACAGATAAGGTCTCTGCAGAGAAGGCTCGGAACACGCTACTCCTGCACATGTTTCAGTTGAGCCTGAATCTCATTTCCACCATGGGACAGCCCATCTCCAGGGCCCTGGCTGCTCTGGTGGAACCGCCTCTGTCTGGACAGCTTATTGTACTGGTTTACGTGTTTTTGGGGATGATGCCACGATGTATGACGGCTCTAACTTACGGACTCAAGGACTTGAGCCTCAGGCCAGTCCTGGTGTCTTTCCTCTGCTGCCGCCTGCAGGCGTCTCCAAACGCTGTCACAGCTCAAACACATGATCTACAGAAAAAAATTAGGCCTCCTCAAGCCCCCAGGCACACAGCCTCCTTATCCATAAACATGACTAAAGAACAGATGACTCAGGACAACTCTGGAGTCCTACACTCCCCCCGTCTTGTCTAACTTTTGTACCCAACATGCGACGATTCATGCGATACAAGGTTAATTTTACTTCTAAAATTATTCAATCGACACAGACATTTACATCGACAGTCTGGTGTAATAATAGATTTGCCTCGGGTGATTTGTGAAGTGGGTAAGACTGTTTTTAGTGGCACCAGCGAATTCTCCAAATAAAAGGACTGGATGGATTATTTCAAAAATTGTCTTCACACATCTACAGCACTCTGGCTCACTAGGAAATGAGGCCCTATGTCCAAAATTCCGAACTGTCCCTTTAAGGCCAAATAGAGATTTCTTTCATGTCTACAGAGGAGTGTAACCTGAGCAGTTCAGCGGCCTGTTTCTCTGGAGCAAAATATGAGAAGCTGGAGCAATAAACCATTTATTCATGCTGGTCTTAAACAATGCTCAAAATGCTCTCGGAGAAAGACAGGGGATTTTATTGAGGTCTTCCCTTTGGATTTTCTTTCCTCTGGGCAGATGGAGCGGAGAAATTTTTTGTCTGACATAAATGGGCCAATAGCCCAATGTGAATTAATAACTTTTTGAGGATGCACTATTACTTAAGACAGTCTGTGTCTTAATGTGCAGCATTCATGATGTAGCAGAGCGGCGTATTTTCACGTGGACTTCAGTGTAGCAAAATTACTAACAATGCCACCTGGTAAAACCAGGACAGTGTTATCCCCACCCACTATAGGCACACAGGTTTGCAAGGGGTTAATCACACACACATATCCTCGACCAATCCAGTACGTTCATTGTCCATTCGGTCCATGGTCTCGTTTGCTTGGGATTACCTTAGGGCCATTACCACAGTCAATATCGAGCCTCGCAGTAGTGCTTCCCACAAAAAGAAGATTTCAGAGCTATATTGGATTGATCGGGCGACCTGGCGACGAAGGCACAAATTCCTATCCTCATATTTGAATGAACTCGTCCTTGGGCGTTTGACCCAGACTCACCAGAATCATTCTTTATCATCTAGACAAGTGGGACATTAAAATTTGTTAAAAGCTTTTTAAAAGGTCAAACGGTGTTGCCGTGGCAATGGTGCAAATTTCGGGTTAGTTTTTGGGGCTCACCATCAAACTTCGACGCCTGATAATTTGCACAAACTTTGGCCAGTTTCACTCAAATTTTAATCGTGGGTTCACACCCCGACCCTGAACAGACTGATGTAAGAAAATACAAAAATGGGTGCAATAGCGCCCCCTAGAAAATTTATATGTAAAAATAAGGTTTTATTTGTCACAGAATACAACATTTGGCACCCACATTTGTGACATGGTCTCGATTAAAAAACTCAATGATGCTCACACCCCATTTACATTGTGTTGCCATGGCAACAAGTCAAAATGCTGTCCTTGCCAATGAGACATCCTTACACAAACTTTTACGTAGTTGAACCAAATTTAGTAGCCAGGCGCAACATGGCAATAGAAACAAAAATGTATATTGTGACCACGCCCCTTTACAAACCGGAAGTCCGCCATCTTGGATATTTTCTTTTGCCAAATTTTGAAAATTGCAGGGTTAAATTAAGAATTTTAGGGCTAGGGTTGGAGCTATGGTTAGGATTACGATTAGGGTAAGGTTTAAGCTTAGGCTTATTAGGGTCAGTGTGAGGTGCGGCATTTGCGGGGCGCTGCGTTTGCAGGGGCGCGGCGCAAGCACGTGCGAGGGCCGATCATTGCTGCTTGCGGCTATATTATCGTTTTATGTTGATATTGCTTTTGTTTAGTCTTGTTTTGTACTTAAACATTGTGAGTTTTAATTTAGACCAAGTTGGGGGTGTAATGCCTTTTCTCTGTCCTGTGGTGTGTCAAACCTATGGAAGCCCATTTCTGTCAGTGAATAAAAAATAAAAGATTCACAGAAAGTCATAATTATCAGTTTAAAATTCATAATTATGAGTTTTAAACTCCTATTTATGATTTTTAAAGTCACACTTGCTTCTATACTTCTGTATTTCTGTGCTTCTGTAGGAGAATGACAGGAAGAGTGTGGCTTTAGAGTTTTCATTATAAATATCATGTTTTTAAATACTTTTACCTTTATTTTAGAGCAGCTTTTTGTATCCAGTGCTTCTCTGTGGAGAAATAGTTTAGGAACACGTTAAGAAAGTGAGGCATAACTGGACCGCTGTGAACAGTTTCAGAGGAAATTCCAATTACATTTGCTCATCATACTTCAGTGCTGTTGTATTTGGAGCCTAAATATGAAACGTAAAAAAAGAAAGAAAAATAATAATAAATGCTAATGCAAAAATTGTGAGAAAATGACTTTAAACAGAGGAAACTCTCACCACAATGACAGATAATCGTGCCTGTTTTGTATTTAACCATCATGAATTTTGCTTAAGACCAAATTGAAGTCTGGGATGTAAATAATTAAGCCTTTTCACAAGTATTATAAGAATGTATGTGTAATTCTTTATTTTAAGATAATTTAGCATGTGACACCACTGGACAGTCACTACAATTTTACCATGTTAAAAATATACAATAGATAATCCAATTATGTCTTTAATGCCAACTATTAAACAAGTGTACACAGGGTTCCCACTCTTTTTCACTGACAACATTTTTGTAATATTCCATGAATTTTTCATGACCTAAAGTGAATTTTCCATGACTTTTACGGCACCTACATGTGTAGAATTGATCAGAGTTTTAGGGCTAAATATGAAATGTGAACTCTATCCACTCACCTTATGGTTTGGTGTTATAGTTCTTAACATTCCAAATACTGTCAGTGCTTTTGTTGTCGTCTCTTTTAAACAACAGAAACAACGTTCAGAAATAATCATAATAGTTTAATGAAAACTTAACATAACACTGTAGTCGTGTGAATGAGTTACTAAAATTCCATGACTTTTCCAGGATTTCCATGACCGTGTGAACCCTGTATATTACTGTCTGTCTATATTTATTCAGACGTTTATTTTTATTAAGCTATATTCTGTTTTTTCTCAGAAAAGTGGCATTTTATAAAAGTGAGAATGTTATAATTATTACTTTTGGCCTGTATCACAAACCCTTAACCACAGAGCTCTGAATGAAATGTGAGTTCTAGTGAGTGGTCAGAGATGTTTTGGGAGCTTGAGTCAGCACACACAGAAAAAAAAAATCTCACGTAACGCTGTAGCCGCCGCGCGCCAAATAGGAAGTTCTCCAGGAGGCTCTTCCGGCTCCTTCTGACTCTGACTCCAATGAACTTACATTATGATCTTGTGGCTCCTCTCTCTGTAAGTGCTGCTGTGAGCCTCGCCATTTTGGTCTTAAAATGTTTGTACTAACCCACGACACATGATCCTGTATATATATATATATATATATATATATATATATATATGTGTGTATAAACAGCTACACCCAGCAGGAATAATGTACCGGCCAAAGGAGGAGATACAGACCACAGATGTTAAGACACAAAAGTCCCTGACCTGCATGAAGGGTTCATCCCAAATCCAGGACCCTGAGACTGTACACGCGCCAGAAGGAAGGAGGCCGAGGACTAGTGAGTGTGGGAACCACTGTCCAGGATGAAACATCCAACCTCCATGAGTACATCAAGGACAAGGCCCCGACAGATGAGGTGCTCAGAGAATGTCTCAGACAGTGGGGTCCAGAGGAAGAGGAGCTGGAGGGACCATCATGGCAGGACAAACCCCTACATGGGGTGTACCACCGGAACATAACTGAAGTGGCTGATATCAAGAAATCCTACCAGTGACTTGAAAGGGCTGGTCTGAAGGACACATAGAGGCACTGATCCTGGCTGCTCAGGAGCAGGACCTGGGCACTCAAGCAATAGAGGCCCAGATCTACCACACCAGACAAGACCCACGGTGTAGACTGTGCAAAGAGGCTCCTGAGACAGTCCAGCACAGAACTGCAGGTGTAAGATGTTGCAGGGAAACAAACATGGTGCGACAGAACCAAGTGGTGAGCAGAGTGTACAGAAACATCTGTGCAGAGTACGGGCTGGAGACTACAAGGTCAAGGTGGGAAACACCTCCAAAGGTTGTGGAGAACAACCGAGCCAAGATCCTGTGGGACTTCCAGATACAGACTGACAGGATGGAGATGGACCAACCAGACATAGTGGTGGTGGATAAACAACAGAGCANGTTTTTAAATACTTTTACCTTTATTTTAGAGCAGCTTTTTGTATCCAGTGCTTCTCTGTGGAGAAATAGTTTAGGAACACGTTAAGAAAGTGAGGCATAACTGGACCGCTGTGAACAGTTTCAGAGGAAATTCCAATTACATTTGCTCATCATACTTCAGTGCTGTTGTATTTGGAGCCTAAATATGAAACGTAAAAAAAGAAAGAAAAATAATAATAAATGCTAATGCAAAAATTGTGAGAAAATGACTTTAAACAGAGGAAACTCTCACCACAATGACAGATAATCGTGCCTGTTTTGTATTTAACCATCATGAGTTTTGCTTAAGACCAAATTGAAGTCTGGGATGTAAATAATTAAGCCTTTTCACAAGTATTATAAGAATGTATGTGTAATTCTTTATTTTAAGATAATTTAGCATGTGACACCACTGGACAGTCACTACAATTTTACCATGTTAAAAATATACAATAGATAATCCAATTATGTCTTTAATGCCAACTATTAAACAAGTGTACACAGGGTTCCCACTCTTTTTCACTGACAACATTTTTTTAATATTCCATGAATTTTTCATGACCTAAAGTGAATTTTCCATGACTTTACGGCACACCTACATGTGTAGAATTGATCAGAGTTTTAGGGCTAAATATGAAATGTGAACTCTATCCACTCACCTTATGGTTTGGTGTTATAGTTCTTAACATTCCAAATACTGTCAGTGCTTTTGTTGTCGTCTCTTTTAAACAACAGAAACAACGTTCAGAAATAATCATAATAGTTTAATGAGAACTTAACATAACACTGTAGTCGTGTGAATGAGTTACTAAAATTCCATGACTTTTCCAGGATTTCCATGACCGTGTGAACCCTGTATATTACTGTCTGTCTATATTTATTCAGACGTTTATTTTTATTAAGCTATATTCTGTTTTTCTCAGAAAAGTGGCATTTTATAAAAGTGAGAATGTTATAATTATTACTTTTGGCCTGTATCACAAACCCTTAACCACAGAGCTCTGAATGAAATGTGAGTTCTAGTGAGTGGTCAGAGATGTTTTGGGAGCTTGAGTCAGCACACACAGAAAAAAAAAAATCTCACGTAACGCTGTAGCCGCCGCGCGCCAAATAGGAAGTTCTCCAGGAGGCTCTTCCGGCTCCTTCTGACTCTGACTCCAATGAACTTACATTATGATCTTGTGGCTCCTCTCTCTGTAAGTGCTGCTGTGAGCCTCGCCATTTTGGTCTTAAAATGTTTGTACTAACCCACGACACATGATCCTGAATATATATATATATATATGTGTGTGTATAAACAGCTACACCCAGCAGGAATAATGTACCGGCCAAAGGAGGAGATACAGACCACAGATGTTAAGACACAAAAGTGCCTGACCTGCATGAAGGGTTCATCCCAAATCCAGGACCCTGAGACTGTACACGCGCCAGAAGGAAGGAGGCCGAGGACTAGTGAGTGTGGGAACCACTGTCCAGGATGAAACATCCAACCTCCATGAGTACATCAAGGACAAGGCCCCGACAGATGAGGTGCTCAGAGAATGTCTCAGACAGTGGGGTCCAGAGGAAGAGGAGCTGGAGGGACCATCATGGCAGGACAAACCCCTACATGGGGTGTACCACCGGAACATAACTGAAGTGGCTGATATCAAGAAATCCTACCAATGGCTTGAGAGGGCTGGTCTGAAGGACACACAGAGGCACTGATCCTGGCTGCTCAGGAGCAGGACCTGGGCACTCAAGCAATAGAGGCCCAGATCTACCACACCAGACAAGACCCACGGTGTAGACTGTGCAAAGAGGCTCCTGAGACAGTCCAGCACAGAACTGCAGGTGTAAGATGTTGCAGGGAAACAAACATGGTGCGACAGAACCAAGTGGTGAGCAGAGTGTACAGAAACATCTGTGCAGAGTACGGGCTGGAGACTACAAGGTCAAGGTGGGAAACACCTCCAAAGGTTGTGGAGAACGACCGAGCCAAGATCCTGTGGGACTTCCAGATACAGACTGACAGGATGGAGATGGACCAACCAGACATAGTGGTGGTGGATAAACAACAGAGCAGAGCTGTGGTGGTGGACATCACAATACCAAGAGATGGTAATATCATGAAAACGGAACACGAGAAACTAGAGAAATACCAGGGGCTCAAGGAGGAGCTGGAGAAGGTCTGGAAAGTGAAGGCATCAGTGGTGCCTGTGGTGATCGGAGCACTTGGGTCCGTAACCCCCAAACTGGAAGAGACTACAGCAGATAATGGAAAAAACAACAGAACATCTCAGTCCAGAAAAGTACAGTACTAGGAACAGCAAAGATACTGAAGAACTCTCAGGCTTTTTATGATATTTATGATATATATGATACATAATGATCTTGAAATTATTACTAGTGTATAGTTTTTTACTCACTGAATAAATCAAAAGTCTGAGGAGCCAAAGTGATATATGACACATACTATACAGTAATATTTGCCAGTTAGCTGTAGTCGTATATGTCTAAATATGTTCTTAAAATATATTACATATCTTCTGAGTTAAAATAAAGATAATACTTACTGTGCGTGTGTTAGATGCTCTATAAATGCTCTTAAGGGATCACACTTTTAAGGAATAGCAATTGGCTCAAAACGTCACTGTAAATAAAATCTTTGAACAGGAACTACTTTATGTGTGTATCACTCTCAGCACCCATTCTAGAAAGCCTGCAATGGGTGTCTTTGTAATCATTCACATACTAAATATTAAATGTTTTACTAAGTGGTATAAAAAAAAAAAAAATCTGTTTTTTTTTATTTTATTTATTTATTTTTTTTGAAGAAAAGCTGTGTGACGGAGCAGGCTCGTCCCTAAGAACGCCATCCCTGGGGAGAGCACGTGAAGACGCGCGCGCCCGTTTCCGTATTCTTTGCGCACCGCTCGCCGTACCATTTCATACCTAAATCACTGTTTTAAAAATAAAAATTTCCCAACACCTCCTGCGTGTCGTGCCGCGACTAAGGGTGCACACTTAGAAGCGCTTATTCAATTCATGTAAATCACGCTTAACCAGACATTTACTTCCCCTCGCGCCGCCGCCTTCGCCCTCCTACCGTGGGCTGTTCTGGCAAACCCGGACACATCCGCGCTGGCAGCTTAAATCCTGTCGTTGCGCGGGTTCAGGGGATCAGGTGAGCAACAATTAATTTGCATGGTCAATTAAAGGTATTGTCGGTCTCGCAGACCACATATACAAAACCCTTTCATTTTGGGCGCAAGCTATTACGTATATAGAACAATAAAGCGAAGGAACGTAGGCCGTTTAATTGTAGAAACGGCGTAATCACTATTATTGGGGGGGAATTATGTAATGTGGGAGGGGCAAACGGGAATATAAAGGTGCGCTCTCCAGCTCTGTCACCAGTCGCGACCAGGTTACGGTGGAGGTAACTTGTGTGGAGTGAACCAGAGCGAACGAGCGACCGAGAGCGTGAGTGAGAGAGCGAGCGAGAAAACGCTGAAGGACTTAAAGGGGAAGTCCACCAAAAACTTATTTTGTTTGTTTTGTTTTTTTTTTCACACCACCACTGTAAATATTTTTCCACTCACGTTTGGCACCTTTTGCACTGTTGGAGAGCACAATAAACCACCGAAAAGCATTTCCTGGCTAAGCCTGAGTCTTTTGGAAGAACCCCACCACAAGCTGGAGCATGAAATGTAAACTTTTTATTACAAACATTGCAAGAGAACAACCACACAGGGTTATTATTATCTACTCACATATTGAAGGATTATTATGGTAAAGTGTAACTAGCACCACTGGATTCCTTGACCTTTACAATGTGGGTTTAGCAGTAAAAATCTACATTTCAGTTTATTCAAAAGTCAAGATACTATAATTTTTACATTTACGGCAGCCATTTTTTAAACTTCAATATCGCCGCCATATAGACATCTGGGCAAATGCAAACATTGATTTTCTGACTCCATATACTATAACCTGACCAAAAATGTATAGTTAATCAAATTCCCAAAAAATTCCCACTAAGGTTAAAATTTGAATATAAGGAACTGGACTATACTGTTAAGTTATAAGTTAAATGTGATTTTAAGTTAATTTGGTTCAACTGATTTATAGCTACCCCTCCCTAAACCACCACCTTAATGTGGTTGAGGGGTTTGAGTGCCCGAATGATCCCAGGAGCTATGTTGTCGGGGGCTTCATGCCCCTGGTAGGGTCACCCAAGACAAACAGGTCCAGGGGGATGGGTCAGACGAAGAGTGGTCCAGAAGCCTTTATGACAAGAGGAAAAACTAGGCCACTTACGTCGCCTGAATTGGCGTCACCCGGGCCTGACTCTGGAACCAGGCCTGGGGTGGGTGCTCAACAGTAGCGTCTGGTCTGGCCCCGTGAGGAAAGGCCCGGCCAGGCTCAGCCCGAAACAGCGACGTGGGGCCGTCCTCCTGTGGACCCACCACTCGCAGGAGGATCCATAGGGGCATGGTGCAAGGAGATCTGGGCAGCAGTCGAAGGCAGGGGCCTCAGCAACTGGATTTCTGGATATAGAATGTCACCTTGCTGGGGGGAAAGGAACCTGAGCTTGTGCGGGAGGGTGAGAGTTACCGACTAGATATAGTTGGGCTCATCACTCGGACTCCATGTTTGAGTGGGCTTTGTTCTCTGCCTCTATTGTCGATGCGGCCGCTCATACCTGTGGGCGTAAGGTCTGTCGTGCTTGTCGTGGCAGCAATCCCCGAACCTGGTGGTGGCCACCAGAAGTAAGGCATGCCGTCAGGCTGAAGGAGTCCTATTGAGCCTTGTTGGCTCGTGAGTCTCCTGAGGCAGCTGATGAGTACCGACGGGTCAAGCTTCCTGCAGCCCGTGTGGTTGCAGAGGCAAATACGTGAAGCTGGGAGACGTTCTGAGAGGCCATGGAGGGGGACTGTTGGACGGCCTCAAAAAAATTCTATCAAACCATCCAGCACCTCCGTAGGTTGAAGCAGTGCTTCACCAACACTGTTTACAGTGCGGGGGGAGAGCTGTTGACCTGGACTGGGGATGTTGTTGGGCGGTGGAAGGAATACTTGGGGACTCGGAGGCGGACTCATCCATCAGCCTGGACTGTAGTTCATCTCATTTTATTTATTTATTTTTTATTAAAATGTGGAAAGCTTCTACAAGTTTAATTGTTCTGCCTTCTCTGTTTCAGCTGATTCCTGGGGTCTATGTGCAATGGAGTGGCTGAATTTCTTTCCGAACCTCACAGAGAAGCAGCTGACAACAACAATCAGTTTTAAATTATCTTTTGTCACAATGACCTGCTTGGCTTTTCTCATGTTCCTGGTCATAAACGGCATCATCATCCACACTCTGTGCAGCCGGCCTGTGTTCAGGGAGACATCGCGGTACATGCTCCTGCTGAACCTGGTGGTGGCAGACTCCATCGTGCTCTTCATGGGACAGTTGTTGTACATGCATGGTGCCTTTTTCATCTTCCTGTCTCTGTGTGGATTCTACGTCATGATCGGCTTCCTGTGCGACCAGATCGCTCCTCTCACTCTGATGTTCATGTCCATTGAGCGTTACATTGCTGTTTGTTTCCCATTTCATCACCCCACCATAGTCACCATGAGGAACACGGCGTTTGTCATTCTCTGTGTCTGGGGGCTGGGCTGTGTGGACATGTTTGTTCGGCTGATGCTCATTGTTGAATTCCCCTTCCACCTGCTCCCCAGCCTTCAGATGAACGTATACTGCAGCTCCACCGCCTTGCTGCGTGGACCACGATCCAAGCTCTATGAGACAGCGTCCACCATAGCGCTCTTCCTGCTTTCTGCATCGGTCAGTGCATTGTCCTTCATCTGTGTGATGGTGGTGGCAGTTTCTGCCTCCACAGATAAGGTCTCTGCAGAGAAGGCTCGGAACACGCTACTCCTGCACATGTTTCAGTTGAGCCTGAATCTCATTTCCACCGTGGGACAGCCCATCTCCAGGGCCCTGGCTGCTCTGGTGGAACCGCCTCTGTCTGGGCAGATTATTTTATTGGTTTACGTGTTTTTGGGATGATGCCACGATGTATGACGGCTCTAATCTACGGACTCAACGACTCAAACCTCAGGCCAGTCCTGGTGTCTTTCCTCTGCTGCCGCCTGTGGGCGTCTCCAAACGCTGTCACAGCTCAAACACATGATCTACAGAAAAAAATGAGGCCTCCTCAAGCCCCCAGGCACACAGCCTCCTTATCCATAAACATGACTAAAGAACAGATGACTCAGGACAACTCTGGAGTCCTACACTCCCCCCGTCTTGTCTAACTTTTGTACCTACCTCACACCTGCAATTTCTGTCAAAAGTTTTAGACCAATTTTATTGATCCACAAGGGAAATTTTTTGGACACCGTAGCTCTTACATCACAATAAATATAATAACAAAGAGCAAAAATATAAATGGTAATAATAAATTCTAAATGAGTAACAAAAACTATAGCAAGAGACAGGTGTCAAATAAAACATAATTATATAAATGTAAATGTACACAAAATAAAATGGAAACATAAAGTAATAAAATATAAAATCACAGCTTTATTCAAAAGGTCATAGGAAGACAGTGCAACAGTGATATGATGATTGACAGGACACAGGGTGATCTGTTACATAAGGGTGAGTTGTTGTACAGTTGTAGGGAGTATTATCTGATGACGTATGGTTCTCTGTCCCTCCATAGTCATAATCACAGCTTTATTCAAAAGGTCATAGGAAGACAGTGCAACAGTGATATGATGATTAAAGAGTCTAACTGGGTCTCTTCAGGAATTTCTCAGTATATCTTCAAGAGACAGTGTGTCCATGGAAGATGGTGACTGGTTCACATTTTGGGTGCAGTTTTTATCACTTGTTTTGTCGTCATCAGATTGGTTCTGGGAAAGATGCTCGCACTGCCTCCAGTCAACTTCTACCTGCAACAATAACTCAGTGAAAATCAGATTATATACTTTTATACATGAGGGAAATGACTTCATCATGAGGGAAATGACTTCATTTAATAAAGATAAAATTATTATGATAAAAAAATTTTTTTTTATATTTAATAATATACTTTAAATTTCCTGTAAAAATACTCTTCACACAAATACATTATTTACTACTAGACTATATTAAATAATATGAACGTTTTATGATCTCTGCTTGGATACAGAAAAGGAACAAAAAAAAGTACAACATTTACAGAAAGCTCATAACACAAAAAGCAGGGAATTCTATAGACTATTATCACGCTTCCGGGTTTTGTGGGCGGAGTTTATCTACTTTGTGCAATTCCACTTTAGGCGCAATAAGAACAATGGCTCAAACAACGGCTCGATGTCACTGCTTTTTTCAAATAATGAATTAATCAACACGATCAATACATATTCTTTGTAAATACTTTGTAATAGCTTTATAATTAGCAAAAGAAGTTACTGGGACCAGTTAAAGCCCACAGATAGACACAAAAAGGAGGAAAAAAGTCCACTTCAAACAGGTGTTCTCGCTGTCTTTTTTATTTTCTCATAGCATCGTGAAGTCCATTGAAGTCCCAAACGTCTCAAAGCACCGAAAGCCTGGTTAAAGCGGACTTTTTTCTCCTTTACGTGCTATCAAAAGAGACACTCGTATGCCGAGGTTAGCTGGCTGAAACTGAGAGCTTCCTCTCAGAATACAAATGACATGGGTGAATTTACTTAGCCTCATTTAAAAATAAATACTCTTGCTTTTGTTGGGTATGTTGGATAAACGCCTTATATCCATACACCAAACTGACGTTAGCATAAGCTAACCCTCCTGTTCTAAAGCATAGACAACCCCTGTCCTGACATACCGTCACTCCAACAGACCCGCACTCCAACATACCGTCATTTTGACAACCCGACACTTTTTGATGCCCCCATTCTGACACCAGTGAACCAGGACAAAACCAGGACTAATCTTGAACGAGAGAGAGAAAGAGAGAGAGAACCGCCAGCCCGTATTGGAGGGTATTTGGCATAAAGCTCTGTGCCATTACAGCGCGCAGAGCTTTACGCACGCTGCTCTGTTGGCACTAGAGGGGGCCACATACGCCTGACCTCCTGCAGGTGAGAGCGCGTGGAGGTGCCACGTTAACGAGTGCGTAAAAGTCTGCAACTTTAAGTGCGCGCACGAGGAGAATGAGTGCTGCAGCCGCCTCTTTATAAACTTTTATGAGTTTATAAGGGACAGACGCATTTCTGGGTCCCTGTGTTTGCCGCTCTGTCCTCTATGACCTGGTACTATTCTAATCTTTTAGCCCTTATTCATGAAAATATCCAGATTCCTAAATCATTGATCTTTTTAGTGCCTCTATCTGACTTTGAGCCCGGCACCGCTTCTCTCTCGCCACACACTGAGCTTCACAGTGTGTTCTCGTGCGCCCTAGTCTTTGCCAACAGGTAATGAATGTCTCCTGCTCCTGTCCATTCACAAAAATGTCCAAATTGCCACACAATTCATTTTTCGTAGTTTCTCTGCTTGGCCGTATCATTGCACCTTGAGCCAAATGCGCGTCACCGCGCGCCTCCATCTGCAGTGTCAGGTAACGCCCTGTAATCTCTTCATTCATAAAAGTTCCAAATTCTTACGCATCTGTCCCTTGTAGTCGTGCTGCTCAGCTGCATTCGCAGTACCAGGACCTTTACGCACAGTGGTGCCTTCAACAATAGGATACTGCCACTCCCACCAAAGGAAAAAGAAATGACGGAGTGCAGGGACGTTTGATAAAAAATGGAAATGCCGCTATTCTGACAATAACACATTATACAATATTGGAGTGATGGTATGTCGGAATAGCAATGTGTAATCATTCAAAAGTTATGTTAGCTAGTAGCCACTCACCTTCATAGTCGTAGGTGAAATTTCCAAAAATAAACTGTATCCGTTGTCCACTTTGGAGCGGGCTGTGATTGAATGTTGATCAATGAGACGATGTATGTCGGAAAAGAATATTTTCGGCAAATTTATGAGGGATGTAGTATATGTAAACAAGTGCGGTTCGTCCATCATGAGTTCAATCACCAGAGCGACAATTCACCAGAAGTAGGCGTGCACAAAGATCACTGAATGAGGAAGTACTACGTATCAGCGTGATAATAGTCTATTAGTTTTGTGTAGCGGCTCATTTATTAGGCTAACTGAAACACAAAGTGTTCAGTGGAATTTCTATTTGAGAATTCCCACGTACACTAGTATGTAGACTCTCTAATTCAACACACTGAAATCAAAGCACACACCAATGCATTTTCTGTCCCAGAGTCCCAGGTAAATCAAGTGCGACTCTATAATTCAGTTCAAGCTAACAGTGATAACAACAATGCTAGCAGCTAGTGCTAGCATTGTTATTAGCATTGTTAGCTTGAACTTAACTAGTTTGGAGCCACAAAGAGAAATGTACAGAGTGAGTGCAAGTGCATTCTTGAGGTGTTTCCAAATGATGTAGTTTGTCCATAGACACTAAATGAAATGAATACATCTGTATCTGAGCAAGTGCTAGCATGATTAGCTCACTAATTAAACAAGCATTATCATAAATGTGCATTAAAAATCGTTAAACCAAGTAAAGATAACTTACAGTTATTGTAGTTGAGGGCAGACCTGCTTTTTCCAGTAGAAGTAATGAAACGAGTCAACTGTTGATACTAGGAGACGTTTTGTTCAGTTCGTGACAGGCGTGTTCTTCAGCCGCTCTGAAAACAGAGCCAAGCTGTTCAGAGACACAACTCCAATAACAGCACAGACTGAATCTGACAATCAAGCACCAAACCCACATTGACCAAAGAGCTTCAAGTTTGTCCTAGTTCAAGTTGAGCAGCATAGCGCGACACGGAGCCTAGTCTGAGGTTAGTTTGAGCAGAAGAATAAACACAGTGAAAGTTTGAGATTTGGTTAAAGGGACAGTTTGGAATTTTGGACATAGGCCCCACTCCACAAAGCACCCGAGGCAAATCTGTTATTACACCAGACTGTCCATGTAAATGTCTGTGTATTATAATAATTTTAGAAGTAAAACCAACCTTGGATTTGAAGGATTTATATCTGAGCAGCAGCAGCAGCGAGCTGCACTTCCTGATAAAGACCTTGGCAGCGGCGAACTGATATTCTCCTCGTTCTGTGTCTGTGTGTCGCTCTAATGCACCTTTAACTCAGTGCATTTTGAGACAGGGACAGCGCACAATTTTCACATCAACCTCGACAGGAGAGATGCATTGTACATCAGGTTGTAGCACCAGTGCTAATTTCCACCTGTAGTCCCTGGGCAGGTATTTTTTTTAGTGATTGATTGTTTTTAACTGACCTTGACTATCAACTGTTCCAGCCTGTTCCAGATATGGCCACATTCGGAGGATCGGGCTACGACTGAGCTGAGCCCTGTGGCGCGGAGCTCTGTGGTCCTTTAGTCTCCCGATAGCCTACGCTGTACACCTCCGGCACGTCCAGACACTAAGTCCTGGTTCACTTCTGGTTTAGTCCTGGTTCAGTTCTGGAATAGTCCTGGTTTATTTGTTTAATGCTCAACTACAGCCAAATATAGACGTCATTGTCTAAATAGTGACATGGAGGAATAGCAGCATGTTGCAGGTACACGAACGTTTACAGTCTAGAAAATACTATATGAGTTTGAGTGCCTTCTCTTACAGCAATGACCTAAAGATAGAAGTTATCACAGCCAGGTAAATAAAGAGGGTAGCAATAGCTTTAGCTAACGTAAGCTAAAGTCATCATCACTCGACCAGTTTGCTATCATCAGAACAAGAGCAAGCTTGAGTACAAACCTGTTCTTCATCGGAGGCTGTTCGTGCACTTGGACAGACGGATGGCACAGCAATCGTTTTGAGAAAAAGCCTTGTTTTGGACTGAGTGTGAAGTCGTCTGAACTGAAATGATCACTACAGACCATGTGGTTGTGCAGAGTCTCCATCAGTGTGTTCTTGTCCAATCCAGCAGCTAGAAGCCATAGTTTCGTTTTTCTGGCGTCTCTTACTGGAAAGTGGTGGAAACTTTGTGGTGCCCATCTGCTG